GTATAAACTTAAGTATTAAATTTATATCATATAAAAAGAAAAATCATAGAATTATCATGGATAAAATATATAATTATACATGACTATAATAAAGAGTAGACTAAATCAATAAAAGAATGGTCATTAAAATCTCATTTTGGCAAAAAACCCAAATTATTACAGCCTAACTAACTATAATAAAAAATTATTACAACCTAACTAATTATAATTTATATACTGAAATTATAATTATTAGTTTACATTTTATAGTTAATTTATTAGACAAATAATAACAAATTAAAAATATTTTATAATATTATCTAATTTAAAATGTATTATTGACAACTGTAAGAAAAATAGTACATTACATGACTTATAATGTAATAATTAATAAATAAAATAAAATATTTGGTTAACAATATAAAAATTAATAAAATGCGTACAAATTTGAAAATAACATTTTAATTTATTATATGCCCAAGCGAAATAAAAATTAGCTCAAGAAGGGATAAACTACCATATGGCCCAAGGGGGGATTCGAATTTGAGAAATCAAAGCAAATAACATTAGTGATAACCATCATGCCTCCTCAACATATGTGTTTAAAATTGCATATTAATAACATATATTTACATTCTGTTTTCAGTTAATGATGTTTGGGAATTATCTCACATCGAAGAATGAGTATTCAAATATACTATATAAATAACTATATAATTGAAAGATAATCATAAGTGTAAAAACACTAGGGCATTCGTGCACATGCACGCATGTATGTGTGTGTCGCACGTATGGCATAGTGGGAGTGGTGTGTGTATGTTTTCGAGGTGCGTGTCGCACGTACGTGCGGTTCTTGGTTTTGTATCGCACGTACGTGCGGTTCTTTATTTTGTGTCGTACGTACGTACGGTTCCTGATTTTGTGTCGGCACGGGCTGTGCCGATTCCTAAGTCGAAGCGGGCTGATTTTTAAATCATTGGCTCAGACCATTTTGGTTGTTTTTTAGCTTCTAATTTTGATAGATAGATTTCAAAACCACCACAGTTAAAAAGGAAAGTTTTTAGCAATTACCTTATCTTCTCTGTTGTTTTCTGGTATTTAAGGTGGCATTTCTCAACTTCGGTTTTCTTATCCAAGATTTCGAAATCTAGAGAAGCCGACTCTTGCTCATTTCTGCTCTAGGTGCCTCAGATAGGAGAATTTCGCCATTAAAAGCTCAGATTTCTTTTCTTGAAGCTCTTTCTCTGCCTGTAATGAGAGCAAAATTGTAATACTGACAAAGAGACAAAGCATTAAGGATAATTTGATCTGGTTGTTAAGAAAATTGTAGCATTGATAGAACATCAGGAATAATTTGATGATTTTGATATTTTGTTAAAAATTTTGAAAATTTCTTGCTTTAACTACGTCCTGAAAATTCAATTCTTTAAATTTTTACAGAATATTGAAAAGAATTCGTTAATTGATTTCTCTCTCTCTCTCTTTCTCTCTCTCTCTAAATTAGTTAATTTTTGGAGATATGCAAAATCCCCTTACATGTTACAGTGGTAAAAACACCAGCTCTTTTGTCAAATTGAAAGACAAGAAGAAGTATGATCAAAGTTCAATCACAATTTAACTGCACACTCTCTGGCGGAGGCCAAGAGATGGAGCTATTCGTCACAAAACCCTAATTTCAGTCGAATTGCAAAGTCCCTGCTTAACTAATTGAGCAACAGTATATGGTCTGGTTCGTCAATTATTGAGAAAAAAAAAGACTGCAAATTCCTTCGAAAAAAGGGCGGAATAAAATGAAAAAGTAAAGGTGGCGCACTACCTGGAGAAGAGAAAGCCTCTGGTTTCTAGTTTCCTCCATTTGTTGAAGCCTTTTCTTAAACCCTAAAAGGGCCATTTTTTGTTTCTCAGGCGATTGAAGCCCTAATTTGTCTCCAAATGTTTTCGTTGCTACACTTTTATAAGCCTAAGAAAAATGGCGGGAGATCTAAATCAGCTGTTAAAGTTTGAAAAATGACCAAAATATTTCCGTTCATCTACGTAATGACTACGAAGTCCCAAATTCTATTTGAAATAATCAAAATGCCGCCGTGCTTTTTCTAAGCAGTTTCTAATGACGAATTCGACTGTATCTTCTTATGGGGGAAGTATACTATATGGAAAACCTAGTCCTTAAATTCATCACCGTCCCTTGAAGTTATGGACAGTGATGAGAGATAGTGTAGCCACTAAAACCACCTAGGGAAAAGTTTATGTAGAACCGAGGCTCTAAACAATCAAATTTAAGCCTACATAAAAAATTTCACTAGAATAGGTTATTTTGATGCCCAAATATCTTCAAATTGATCTTCTCGACATCAAGATGCATGGGCATGAGAAAAAAATAGATCGCAAGTTTCGGAAATTATGTATTTTGTGTTGCATTTTTTGATCGTCAATTTTCAAGATTTTTAAGTTTTCGTAGATATGTCCATCGACACTATTTTTGAAGCTTTAAAATTTATAATTAAATATGAAAATATATTTTAAGGCTATCACAAAGATTTCCAATGTTAAAACTACATTTATCGATACCATTTGAAAGTAGGCTCTAATTTGATTGTTTACAACTAAGGCTTTATACAAACAGTACCCAACGGGCATCACGTCAGTCGCTCCCCTCCCTCTGCCTCATGTTATCAGCTTTTAGGTGGATCAACAGAGAAGGGGTCCACACCCGTGGTAAGAAATGGAATTCTCGTATTATGACATTCTTGCCATGTGTGATATACATTTTATTGTGACTAAAATTTTGAAACGCTACAAAATTATTAGGAACTTTTTAGGAAATAAATGTAATAATCTATTGATTAATAATTATGTTTGTAATAGTACTCAATTAGGAAACGTTCTCTCTTCTTTTGTACCAACAATGTCATATTTACTCCCGATACAAACGAATTTCTTAACCTATAGTTTCAATTTAATATTTTTTGAGATGTTTATTGATATTTAGAGCATGAATGGTTCGTTAGAAATATCCCTTCTAGAAAGAGATTTTCATATGCCAAGCCAATTCCCCATTTGATGTCAAGGTAGTTAATAGAAAAAAAAAAGCTAAAAATAAAATAGTGTAGAAGTGTGATATTGTGATTGGGACAATCTTAGCCCTCCATTTAGAATTGAGAGTTGGGTAAGGAAAAATATATCAGTTTTATGTTGTAAGGGAAGCATAAAAAGCTTGCTCGGTAGATTAACCCAAACTCCCACTTTGTATGGCCTACCTCAACAAGCACATTAGTGTATTACCTAACATCATCTTCTCACTAAGGTCCTATTTTAGTTTAATGTCATTTGTTCCCATTACCATTCAGGATGGTCGTATGACCCTCCTTTCTCTAACACTGTTCAAGATTTCTACATTGCTGAGGATTTGCATTATAGTATCTCCAATTTCCAAAATTTATGCGTGAACTTAGTTTTTGCTCGATATCGTTATTGTTATAGTCCCAAGGAATTTTATTTATCTTAAGTTTGACGACATTGAGAATGTTGCTTAAATCGTCATCATCATCATCATCTTCAAAGTTTTTTTCTAACTAATTGGGGTCGGCTACACGAAACTTGATCCTCATTTTGCTCTATTAAGGTCCATACCTTTAGTGAGACCATAAGTCTTCATATCTTTTCTCAAGTTGCTCGAGCCTTCTATAATATAATAAACATATCAAGGGGTGATAACCCTTACACATTATTAAAGGGGTCAAAATATCTCAATTCACATTGAATGGTTTATTACAGTGGTTTAAAAATTGGCGTGTCGACCCGGAATCGCCCAGGGTCGACACAGGAATCGGTTTGCCCATGCCGGTTCTTGCACAATATCGAAAACCGGGCGAGTCTAGAGAGGAATCGCCGATTCTTGGAGGAAACCGGGCAAGTCTAGAGAGAAATAGCCGGAATCGCCTAGGGTCGACACATGAATCAGTTTGCCCGTGCCGTTTCCTCCACAATATCGGAAACCCGGCGAGTCTAGAGAGGAATCGCCGATTCTTGGTGAAAATCGGGCAAGTCTAGAGAGAAATAGCCCCGGGTCGACACAGGAATCGGTTTGCTCGTGCCGATTCCTGCACAATATCGGAAACCGAACGAGTCTAGAGAGGAATCGCCGATTCTCGACCGAAACCGGGCAAGTTTAGAGAGAAATAGCCGATTCCCGTTGTAAATAGGCAAAACCGAACGAGTCTAGAGAGGAATCGCCGATTCTCGGCGGAAATCGGGCAAGTCTAGAGAGAAATAGCCGATTCCCGTTGTAAATAGGCAAAAAATAACGTTTCTCATTAACATGTGACACATTGCCCCCGTACTTCCACATGCGTGATAATTAACTATTGCGTTCTTATTTATAGAGCATTTTAGTGCTCTCATCCTTCGATGTGGGACAAAATTAGAGTTGCATAACTAATAGCATGTATATATCTATTACAACCTTGTAAGCACAAGGGGATGAATTGGTGGAGGAGGTTAGCATTGTGGATTTTGGCTTACGCAATTCACCTTTGGGGCTTTATATTTATTTTTTAATTTGTTGTAAAAAAAATAGAAGGAAAAAATTTAAAAACGTATAAGAAAAAAAATCATGTTGTAAAAAAAAATAAAAGGAATAAAAATATCCCTTTAGGGCTTTATTTTTATTTTTTAAAAAAGGACAATAAAAAAATCATGTTGTAAGAAAAATAAAAGGAAAAAAATAAAAAATAGAATAGAAGGTAATACAACAAGCATTTTTGGTAAAAAAAATAATAATACATATTTTTATTTTTCTTGTCAAAAAAAGAGAGAGTAATATAACGTATTTCTTGTCAAAAATAAAAGAAACGATAATACAAAAAAAAAAATTGTAGTACAACATATTCTTAATTTTTTAGTCAAAAAATAAAATAAAAAGTAATACAATAAGTATCATATTTTTCTTAGCAAAAAAGAAAAGATAATACAACAAATATTTATTGTCAAAAAAAATAAAAGATATTTATAAATACAACAAGTATTTCTTAATTCATCCTAGGATAAATGATGTAATATTATAGTTACTTAGGTTGTAATAATACACCCTATGGCACCGATCCGTTTTTTAAACCACTGGTTTATTCCATTTGAAATCTCTCTCTTTCTACTAACAATTTCTTTTACTAAATTTATTCTATAAATCTAAAAATTTAAAATTTTGAAAAATTAAAATGTTATTTCGAACATTGGTACACATTCTAATAATTTCTATATTGATAATCGAAATCTTTTATTTTATTTATTAATTTTTGCATTATAAATCTTGTAATGTACTATTTTTCTTACTGTTGCCAATGATACATTTTAAATTTGATGATATTATAATTTTTTTTAGATTTGTTATTATTTGTATTATAAAATGTAAACCAACAATTTTAATTTCAGTATATAATATTATAATTAGTTAGGTTGTAATAATTTTGGTTTTTTTAGCGGATGAGGGTTTTCCTCTAATTCAAGATTTTAGTGGCCATTTTTTTATCGATTTAGTCTACTCTTTATTGCAGTCTATGTATGATTGTATACTTTGTCAATGATATTTCTATGATTTTTTTTTTCTGTGATGTAAATTTAATGGTTAACATAAGTTTATACAGGGAAAGAACATCTCAATATTCATAAATTGATGAAAAAAATAAAAATTAATAATGTAATACCCTCATTTCTTATTGGATTTCTAGAAAACAACATTTATAAAAAATTTTAATATATTTTTTTAAAGCTTAATTCAATCAAGTTGGCCGATTCTCGATTCGGATCGCCGATTCACCGATTTGGATGGGTTTTTGGAGTGCCCGATCCGGGTCACCAATTCATTTTTTTAAACCATTGATTTATTATATGATTTTATTTTACTCAGATACCTCTCTAAAAAATATATTAAAAAATACCTAAATTTCTTTTAGGTTGGAAACCATCAACATACAAAGACATCTATTAATAATTCAATCCAACTGAGAGGTCCCAAGTCCCAACCAAATCCTGGGAGTACTTTTACTTGTTTAGAGTAGCTTAAATTATTAAAATGCCCCTGCATGTTTACATTTTTCAATTCTAAATAAAAGCAATTTAGGTATTTTAAATGATTTTTTTTTATGCATACTAAAGTGACATAAAAATTATACGGTAAACCCCTCAATGTAAGGTTTAATTTCTTTTGTAAAAAGTTTTGACCTCTCAAACGATATTTCACCAAAAAAAATACTTAATATTTTATGTGAAAAGAACGATTCTGTTTTTTAATTCCTCTCCACTTACTTCACATTTGCTCAACCTCACCACCCCACCTATCTCCCTCTATTTTTATTTATTTTTTATGTGCAAATGGGAAGAGAGAGTGGGACGTTTGGACATTTTCAGGCTTCTCCGTTTGTTTAAGAGGTGAGGAATGTTAAGTAATGTTGACATTCATATGAGCATACTCAAGGGTTTATTTAGGGGAAAATATCTCTTTACTTCATATATTTAACTTCTCTGTCTGTTTTAACTCAATAATGAAAAATATTGTTTGTTGGAAGCAAATGACTTTCATTTTTCCAATCTTGCAACCCTCTAAATCTTTTTTGAGATGAATTTTTTACCCCAGTAAAAATTAAAATGACATCCTCTCTCAGAAGTGGGGTGCCCGGCCGTTGGTTTTATTAGGGAGAGAGAGAGTAGGTGAAGAATGCGAGAGAGACGTGAGATGGTGGAGAGTGGAAGGCAGAGGAGGAAGAGAGAGCAGTGTCAGAGGTTGAGAGAGGGTGAGTACTGCTACGTGTGGCGGTTGAGGAGAGAGCAGATGGGAGGTTGTGGAAAGGTGGTGGGTTTGTTGTGTGTGGCGGTTGCGACGGTCGAGGGAAGCGGTGGCTGATTGAGAGGTGTGAG